GTTTTGACCCTAGCAGTTATTTTTTTACTATTTTTAGATTGTATTTATTTTTTGCTACTTTTAGTTTAGTTAGCTAGCCTTTAGCTTCTTTAGCTTTTAAGTAGTCTTTTGTTACATGTAGTTAGGTAATGTTTAGTGGATTAGTTTTAGCTAGCCTTTAGCTACTTTTACATTTCTGCTACTGTTTTGTTACATTTAGTTAAAGATGTACTTTCACTACTTTAGCTTTTCATACTTGTTTTTAGCTTTTACTATTTTTACTTTCAGACTGTTTTGTTACTTTAAATAGCATTTGACTACTTTTAGCTTTTATACAGACTTGTGCTACTTTTAGTTTTTTCAGCTAGTCTTTTACATTAAACCTTTAGCTGGCCTTTAGCTATTTTCAGCTTTTATATAAATAAATTTGTGCTACTTTCATTGTTAGCTAGCCTTTCACTAAGCTTTTAGCTACTTTTACCTTTTTGCGATGCTCAGCTAGCCTACATTTAGCTGTAGCTACTATTTTGCCACTTTCAGTTATTAGCTAACCTGTGCTATTTTTAGCTTCTAGCTATTGTAGCGCTACTTTTGGCTTGCTTTTTAACATTTATATAGATTTTTTGCTATTTTTAGTTTTTTAGGCGGCCTTGTACTACATGTTGCTTTAAGCTAGCCTTTTGTTACTTTTAGCTTGTAGCTTCTGTTTTACTTTTTAGCAGTTTGCTACTTTTATTTTGGATATAGTCTTTGCTACCTTTAGCTCTTTTGTCAGTGTTCTGCTTCTTTTAGCTTTAACTTGGTTGATTTTTCGCATAAATTTCGGCTGTTCAGCATTAAGCGGTTAATATTTTTGCTTATAGTGAGTGTTAATTAATTACAGTGTTAATTAATTACAATTATTAATTAATTTTAAATACATGTTATATATTTAGCAAATGTAATTTTCTGTTGAAAACAAGTTTATGTCAGAATTGTTTTATTTTTTACGTCTTTCAGCTGTTTTGTTTTCTCCAGGTCGTCCACAAACTTCCTGTGGTCCTCTGAGGACTTCTGCATCACGCTCTTCATCTCCTTCACGCCGTCGATGGCGTTTTCGACCTGCTTGTCCAGGTACTTCTCTCCCAGGATGGAGATCTCTGTGAATCACAAACAACAGGGATGTTTGAACAAACCTCCGTGTGCTGCGTCTCTTCCAGTGTAAACAGACTCACCGTTCAGGTCGTCCGTGGACGGAGGCAGAATGCAGCTGGCCGAGGCCAGGAGAAGAGCCAACACAGCCAGGGACTCCCGGGACCCCTTCTTCTTCTTCATCATCAGCATCATCATTAACATCCTCTCTGCCTCTCAGATGGAGCAGCAGGAAGTAATGAGAAAACCCTGGAACACATAAAGAGTATTTATATCAACTGATTGATTTAAAGTTGTAATGACGTCATGGGTCCAGCAGGGGGCGGCAGAAACACAGACAGACTGCAGATGAAGCTACGCAGAAGAAAAACTGAGACGTTTGCTCAGCAGTTTGCACCATGACTCAGCAAAATGTAAAAATAACCTTTCATTATCTTATGTCTCATTAAACACAATGAGGTCAGGTCCAAACGAGCCTGGGATCAGAACCTCCGGAGGCCTTATATAACAGAAGAGCAGTCTCTCTCTCCTCTCTGATGTCGGCTGCAGTCACACGACCTCCATCCCTGAACAAACACGGAGGAATTCATGGAACTTCTCTCATCTACCTGCAGATTTTTACCCCTGGCTGTGTGCGTTTCTTCTCCCCTCCAAACACTTTATTCTGACTCTACTTTACTACTTTATTCTGACTCTATTTTACTACTTTATTCTGACTTTACTACTTTATTCTGACTCTATTTTACTACTTTATTCTGACTTTACTACTTTATTCTGACTCTATTTTACTACTTTATTCTGACTCTATTTTACT